ACTATGAAGACGAGGTAATAAAATAAAAATCAAGTCAAGAACAACAACAAAATTTTATAAATGAAAACTTCTTGCCGAGCATTGGCTATTATATTAATTCCCTGTCAATGTTCCCATCTTCATTAAAAGGCGTAAGATGACAAAAACAAAATCTTGAAGAATCTATCTATATACTAATAAAACTCTGAGATTGTTTTTTTGCTTATTTTCTCAGTCAAAAAATCATTCACACTACCGTTTGAACTCTTTACAAAACTTCTTACTTCACTTTTTTGTGGTCTTTCTTTTTACTCCCGATCAACAATCAAATATCTTTTCTTGAATTATGAATAACACGAGTGGATTGAAATATTGAATTAAATTATCTCAAAATAAACCTTCATTTCGGTGCAATATTGAAATTAGCTTGAATTCTTCATAACCTCTGAATAGTGGTTGACCCAACGGGTCACAGTGGTCTAATTATAACCTAAATTTTAGGTACTCTTTTGGAATATGCAACTTATTAAATTATTACTATTTGTTGAAGAAAAATGTGAATAGATATAAATTATTTAGCAAGAAATTATGTGTTTACCCTTGTCTTTATTACCACCATTGCATTTTATAGTAACTCTTCTATGAATCCACTGTGATGAGTCAGTATTTTAATATCCTGTTAATTTTTAGATGTAACTTGACAGTTCTAAATAAAGTGTATTAACATAAACCTAGAATGAGTGCAAATAAAGCAATAACCAGTGTATTCTTTGTTCAATATTTAATACACTGTATATAGTTTCACCTTCACCTGTGGACCATAAACTAGGTCTTTGTTGGAAGTTTATAGAAATGCTTTTAGTTAAATTTGTATGAGACTTTAAAAATACAAATATCATATTGCTAAACAGCTTTAGTGGGTGAGTTATGTATTGAGCTTACCTTTTGCTAATGTACTTAGATAGCATTGTTAAATACAGAGAGAGAATAATAAACCTAAACTGTTAATATGAAGTGTTATCTTGTAAACTCTACTGTAACAGGTAATCTACACAAAAGTTGGCATATTAAATGATAATCAATAGTTTCTAGCATACAAGTGGAAGATTAGAATAGTTACATTTAACCTGTAGAACATTAACAAATTTTTAAACATATGACATACATTTAAGTGTAGAAAAAAAAAGACTTTTATTTGTACTAAATAACTGCATGTACAGAACTTTTGGCAAGTATGGTTATTAATGTCTAATGAAATTGCTTATGAGTTGATGAAGTTAAATGTATGTATGATAAATCTTACTGATGTTAACCATAAGAATTTATTATCCTTATATGTTACTGAAAACTCTGTATGTGTAATTAGTTTGTATTAATGTAAGTAACATGCCTTGTAAATTCATTCTGTTTAGTGAAAAAAAAAAAAAGAGATAGAACGAAATTTAGGCCTAGATCTTATACAGAAGATCGTTATATAAATTAGTAATATAATAAACAGTTTTAAATACCTATTGTAACATAACTTATTTTTAAGTCTGATAAGTAAATGTCTAAAATCTTGTGTACTGCTTAAAGCCTCCTACACAGATATTCTAAATTTATATATTTAGTATTTTTACTGAAATAAAAAAATTATCCAGACTTTCTAAATATGAAGAATTTTCAATCTATCGCTAATAAATATATGTAGAAACTAGTTAGTAGAATCAGAGTTTTTATCATACTAGGTTTTTAATTTTGGTTTAACTCTTCAATGTACAAGAAATATATTTTATGAATAATCACTGACACATTTTGATATGTGATATCTTGTGATTAGCAAAAGATATTGAAATACAGATGTTGACACTAAAATGCTACTGTTTTGTCAAGTGTCTTTTTGACAGCCAACTTATGATTTGTATTTACACAGGTATTTTGTATTCTCTAACATCATTCCTCATTTCTACACTCTTATTCCTATTTTATAGTTGCTTCTATTTGTTAATGTTTGTTTATTTTGGATATTGTTCTTTATTATGGATAAATCTACAGTAGTATATGTGGGCATGTGCAGTGATAATAACATGAACAATGAGCACTTGTAAAGCACTATTTTTAACACTATTCATGTTTTTAATTGTTAATTTTTTTCACTTAAATTTGAAATGGTTGTAATACATAACTAAGTTAGTAATGTTATTTTATTAATTTATATTGTAATTCCTGTGTAAAGTTCCTGTAAGGTTGGTGTTTGTGTGGGTGTACTGCAAGTACACATTGTAATGGCATTTGAGATCTTAATGGGGAGGGGCAAATTCTTATAGGCTACTTGGCTCCAAGAAATTCTTGAATATTTACCAAGTGAAAATGCAATAATATTCAGCATGACATTGCATTTTCCTGCAGCTTTACGGTACACACGGTAAGAGTGTAAAACTGGTACTTAACTGTCACATTCTTCTAATCTTTTTAGAGGGAGTCGGTTGTCCCTCCCACAATCACTATTCCATCCTCATATATATATATTTGTATGTGTGTGTGTAAGAATATATATGCTGTTATTTCAAGATCACTATTTTTAAATATTTCAAAATTTTAATTACAATTATAACTATCACATTGCATGTTTTAAAAATTTGACTATTATGAAAAAGAAGTTTACTTGATTATAATTGTTAGATATATTTTTAAATAACATTGTAGATGTACAAAAGTTTTTGCAGTATACACAGAATCACTAGACTTTGTAATAAACATAAAATATAAATAGTGTCTGGCTAATAAATGCACTGTTACACATCATAAAAATGATGAAAAAACAATGTTCAAATTTCAAATAGCACCATAATGGAAATTTGGTTGTTGATATACAAGTTTGGCTGTTTAAAAAATAACATTTTCCTAGCTTACCATAGCATATGTAATATGCCATCTTTTATTTGTGATGTTATAAATATTGATTCTTTTTGTTTATTTTGTTATTAGTTTTCATCATTAAAAGTTAGAAAATGTATGTAATATTTAAGATAAAACTATAAGTTAACAATATAACTTGGAACCACTTTTACTCTAAAAATAAGTTACCTAAAAGCATACATTTTTACTCTTGGTTACAGCCAGAGGTTATCGATTTTGGAAACAGATGTATCTCACATTTTTAAACCTACCTATTTTGAGAATACTAAGGTTATTTCAGCATCTATGAACTACATGTAGAGCCATCTTGTAGGTGGTTAACTAGTTTCAGTGAAATGTGAAATTCAGTTAAGCATTATTTTTAAATGCATCGATATATACAATAGATTCATATATATATTTTGTTTGTTATTTATTATAAGTATGTTCAGGAGTGACTTTATTTCTGTGATTTTTGCTTGAGAATAAAAAGTTCCTGTGCTACAAATAATAAACCATATTGTTTTAGTGATACTGAAAAACAGAAAGACCCTAGCTCCTAGAAATTCCAGTCTGCATTAAGGTATTAGATAAGTGTACTGTTAGATTATCTTTTAAATGTACTTTCTATTTTTGTGTCTGACAGTGAGCTCACCGATATAACATAGACCAAATGTTCTATGATTTGTGAATATCTAAGACTAATGTAGTTAAGCTCTGTCTTTTAACCAGGATGCACTAACTTGCTATATTTAATATTTTTTGATTAACAGGAATATTTTGTTATGACCACAGTGTTTCTGTGTAGATTAAGACTAGCAATAAAATTCCATTTTGGTAAACTAGACTGCATGAAGTTTTGTAGCTTTCTTGGTAAAAATTCCCGGTAGAACCTGATAGACTACTAAAACATCCTGCAGTGGCTGAATTTTCCACTGTCTGTGTGGATGAATATCACTAGACATGTCTGGTGTCTGGTCTTTCATCAATTCAGTGTCTACTTATTTCCTTTTTTGACTGTAGGCCAACCCATCTACTGAGGTTGCTCCACACCTACGGCATAATCCAGTCTGGGAAATGGCCACCAAGGAAAGCAAGCTAATAAATTGGATGAAATCACACATTTCTTCCATGAGTACAGGTAGTCATATTTGTCAAACTACACTGTACCTGTAGACATTTTGAAGGTCGTCATTTTTACATTTCCTCTAATACTTCACTAACAAAGCTGGTATGAGGTACACAAGATTTTAGTTTCAGTAAAAGGAACTTGTGTTTCTTCCTGTGCTTGTAAACATTGATTGTTATGAACTTGAGCTCTAGTACTATCTATTTCAACTTTTGTAATTCAAATATGAAGCTGCTTAATAGCATATTTGTATTATTGATTAAATAATTTTCTTATAAGTTCAGACCAGTTCTTAAGCTGGAATTCCCATTCATTTCAAAAGATTAAATTTGGTTTTATCACGAATATCCTTACAATTATATTCACTTACATTATAATATTTTTGCCATTTAAAAAGTAGACTTCAGTTAATTACCTTGTCTTTGGAGGAATAGATTTATCATTGTACGTTTGAGGTGATGCTGAATGATTTTGTTAAGTTAAAATACTAGATAAACTTTTCATGTGATAAAATTATACCAGAAAAATTACATATAACATGTAATTTAGAGACAACAAAGGGACCTGTTAACTCATCTTGGCCATCCCATCCACTAAACTAAACTTTAAAATAAAGTACTCAAAGCTAGCCATTATTGTTCAAATACTTATCAAGCCTTCCCTTATACCATGAAGGTAACCTATGCCAAAGGAAAAATAAAGCTGTTTTAGCTGATGTTGACTACTACCCTGCCAAAATTTATATCTGTCTCCCCTGGTCCTATAATTCTCATTATTAAGTACAAAAAAGATAATGCATCAACACTATTAGTTCCCTTAACAGTCTCAAACACCTCAGTTCAATCCACTCCAACTCTTTTTTTTTTTTCAATAGACAACAATATTGGTGTTCATAACTTCTCAAATAACAACTTGTCCATACCAAGTTTCATCCTAATAGCTCTCATATTAACCACTTCAAACAAGTCAGTGTCCTTCCTAAGGTAAGGAGCTCAAGACTGAACAACTGAACATGATACTCCAAATGTAGCCTAGCCAATTACTTCTTCGGGCTTGTATTTAACATCTCTCTAGATACAACCTAAAATCTTATTTGCTCTGCCACTAGCAACAGCACACCACTTGGATGACTCAAGATACTGATTAATCAGAACAACAAGCTCCTTTTCTTCCAGTACAGTGTTAAGGTTATTTCCCACAAAATTATTGAACTATAATGGATGTAGCACATATATCAGTATCTATGTATGTAACCAAAACTCCTGTGCCATCTATTGAATGGCTCCATGAAAAAAATTCACTCTTTGGGTATTCAAGATTTAGACATGTGGTATGTGCAATAACCATTTCTTTGAATGTGATTTAGAACATAAAGATATGTTTTGTGTACTTATATTTTATCCTTTTTTATCATCATAAATGGATGAAAGAAGACTTTATAAGACTGAAGAATATATACAACAGGTTATAGTTTAACTTTCTGAACTTGAAGTTGATTTGCTGTAACTTTGTGTAGTTTAAATTATGCCAATTTGCTATCATATAAGAACAAAGGGTATATTGCAACCTCTTAATGTCATTCCAAAACATTGAGTATTTTTCCCTTTTTTTCTTTTTTTTCAGGAAAATGCTAGTTACAATTTTTTGCATTATCATAATTCTGACTGGATAGTTACTTTTTTTCCTTTTTAGGATAATAAACACATAACCTCATAATGGAATGTAATTAGATGGTTAAAGTTGGTCTGGTTCATGTTTGTGGGTGGTTTAATTGATTGAATACGGATTTGTATATATATATATATGCATTTTGTATCTTAGTCTGGCTATGAACTATATCTTTTAATTGAGTGGCCAATTTTGACACTTCCTTGCTGATGTTCAAATGCCTTGTAGATAGAATATTGTATCAACTGAAAGTAAGATATCATACTTTTTGGTTAAGTTTCAAAACTGTTTCCTTACAATTTTTTTAAAATTCTCATGTGTTATTATGGAACATTGATTTGAAACTTAGGATGATTATAAGCCCATTTTATAGAACCTGTATTACTTTTCCGTATCTGATTTCTATATAGAATTAGAAATAACTTCAGTATGGTGAATTAGTGTGTTCTTTGATGATTAAGCTGTTTGGCAGCATATTTTGCTATTCACAGTTTCCTGGCCTTGGCATCTTTTAACAAGACAACATAGGATTTCTCCACTACATTGACTGGTACAGATTCATGTTTATTTAGAGTAGTTTTGGCCTGCTGAAGTTCTATAAGCTTTCTTTCAAATACTCCATAGGCTCATCTTTATATGTACAGTGTTTTGTTTGTAAGCGGCACTAGAGTGTTTTGGGACTTACTTTGTTATTGGTCCAAACTTTACTACTTAAAAAAATTGAGGCTTGAGTTCCTCTTCTACGTCAGAACACATAATTCTAAAATCTGTTTATGAACTACAGTATTTTCATTTTTTAGTTCTTTTGTGATATCTCGGCCTTCCAAGCATACTATTTACAAATTGTCTCCTTCAACGAAGTTATCCATCATGCTAAACAGTAATTAATTTATATGCTTGTGCTACTAACAGATCCACTTGCTTGTTATATAATAAACCTCTATTAGTAGGCAAGAGCTGTATTACATTTCACAATAAATTTGGGAGTGGAGCAATACTACTTTAAATAGCTTACTAAAAGTCTTATGTATGAGTTGGTTCATTTCAAGCACAGTACTTATTTTAGTTATATGTATATGTCATGATTACATGTACATTTTATTAGAACTGTTAGTATAGTGTATATATCACAAAAAAAAACATGCTTAGGTTTATTTCCAATATGGTACGTCACCTCCTCTCACATAAATAGCTATTCTTGTTCAGCAATGCTCTCTATATGCTAAAAGCCAGAAGCCTTCTATCTCCCTTCCATTGGAATTGACTGATTCCAATGCGTCTCTCATTCATATCATCATGTGTCAAACCTCCACCAATAAGAATGCAACATAGTCTCATGACACATGTGGCTTCCTCTATTCAATTCTACCGAAATATCACTTCTCGTTTGGCAGTACTCGTGTTCAGACATTTTTTCTTATGGTACTCTTCTTGTGAATCATTATTTTAATAGTTTAAATTGGGATTTCTTCATTATTATTTTTTTCTTTACATTGAAGAAATATTTTAATTCATCTTACTTTCCCAGTCTTTATTTTTTCTCACACTCGTATATTTTTCACCAAACACTTTTATTTGTTTATGTTTTTCTACAATGAATCCTGAGGTTCATGTTCTCATTTTGAGTGCTGTACCTCTAGCACTATTTTCACATGCTGCAGGTGGGTGAGACTTGTTGTTGGATTTCTCTGCTACTATCCAATGTGAGATTGATCATTATATGATAATCCACTAATCCTTCTGAATAAGCCAAACCTGTTCAGGCTAATGAAGATTCAATAGCCTTTTTACACCATTAGATTTTGCCATGTTTGCCAACCCCTCCTGCAGAATCAGTTAGGCCTAATACAGCATTTTTCTACGTGATTTCTCCATTATGTTATGTTTTATACAATTCCATAAAACAGAGAAACTACTTCATGGTGAATAAACTGAAGAGAGGGTTGCTAGTGATGAAATATCAGGATATGCAAACAAGCTTTTGCGACATTCCTCTTTGTCATCGATAAAATAGGAGAAACAACTCCAAGGTAAAACAGGGTAGATTGAAAATTAAAATGAGGCAAGAAAAACTTAGTATAGGCCACCAGTCTCCGGTTTGGCATGTGGATAAGAAACAGCCTGGAGAAACATGATGAACAGGTGTAACGGCCTGTACAGACAGAAAATCTTGTACCACCTCGAACAGATGCAGGCTGATGGCAGGATCCCAAGTCATGGGGGAAGGAAAAGGGTACCAGGGACAAAGGAGGTGGGGAAAGGTATTGGATGACAAGTCCCTCTGAATTATTGCCAAAGATTAACAATATAATATAATCACACTCTTACTGGACCTGAATTCTATGGTTAGTCTCAGGTACTGTTGGCAACATGCCCATCAATGTTGAATAAAATGAGGAGATGAGAAACCCCTAGAAGGAGGACTGGGATGGATAGATAAGGACCAGGATGGGAAAGGAATAGGGGCATGTTGTGGCACCAACTGTGACAAAAGGAAAAAGTTGAGTGTTGACACACAGATTACTCATGAAATTCCAAAGTCACAGATTCATGATAGAAAACATATAACCAAAGAAACTACAGAAATCTCGAAAAGAAAGAGGCGACAAAAATACCTGGAACAAGGTTGCATTGCGACCCAGAAAATCCCAACTACAGTGAAAACACGTGTGTAAAGCAAGAGCCAAAGATGACAACATGGAGGTAATAAGGAATCATACCTCAATGTGACTGCCCTTTGGACTAGTTTCAGCCCTGTATGTTTTGTTGGGTGTTCAGAGCATTCATTCATCACTTGGGTTGTACTTTCCTCTTTTTTTTGTCAACTGGCTACTGTTCGCTCATCTCAACAGGAGTCTGCCTGTTACCTTTATCAGCTGCTCCTGGAGGGGGCTATAATGGGCTGATAATCAAATTAGAGAAGTCCTTACTGTGACCTATCCAATATCTTGTCCATTTGGGTATTTTTCTTTTTCTATACACATCTCAGTCGGGCTCTCCATTCTCCTCTTTGACTTTGTTCAAGGGTTTTTCAATTTGATTACAGCTCATGAAGTTCTATCACTTTTGGGAATGTGATCTTCTATCGTAGCCTTAGCCCTTTAGGTCAGGCTCATATGCGGTCTTTTTGTGGGCCTTTTATGACCAGTGGAATTTTGCAGGTATCCTTTGTCAGCTGTTATTACTCTCCTCCTACCCTTCTAGTCAATTGGCTTTGGTGGTTAGATATGATTTGCATGTTGGCAGGTATCCCACTTCCTCCTCCTTATCCAGTTTTCCACATTTCATTTACACATCCCTTTGGGGATGTGGGTTGATCAACTAGAAGATTTGGGATTTTGGTCTGTGGCCGAGTGGTCTTATCCTATTAATGTCCTGGAACTTCTCACTGTAGATCATATTTTGTTCTTTTTCTCCATCTGTTCAGAAATCATTTGGTAATGATCCATTCTGACTTCAATGATTGCTTATCTCAATCCCTATGGTGGCACCCATTCTCCATCCTTCTGTATTCATATGTTGGATCTTTTTTTTGGGCCCACATGCTCAATATTTCTATCATTGCATGTCATATTCCAGGTGCTTTCACTCTCGTCGTGGATCAGATTCC